ATTTTGGAAATCCGGAAAGTTAGGGGCGAGAATATTGGAAATTTTGGAATTGAGTTTGTGAGGGCTGATCGCCACCCATCCGATGACACACCATGCACATCTACTCAGTTGAGAGGGCATGGTCTGTCAACGGGGGGGGGCGACCATATATATATATATATATATGCTCATATATATATATATACATATTATAGAGTTAACATTCTACAAGAAGATCACTGGCGTGCCCGGTATCGGCTTGAATACCTTCAGGAACGGTTTAGGGTTTAGGTTTAGAAGCATGGGTCCAACCCATCTTTGTTTTTTTAATGTTGGGTGCTTTTTGATTTTTCTGCCCACGGGTGAATTATTTGAGCCAAAATGGAAAATAAAACCCTGACCACCGGCACTGTCTAGTAGGGTCTAGGGAGTCTAAGGATTAGGGAGTGTCATGGGCCCAGCAAATATATTTCTAACATGGAGCTGACGAAGACAAAAAGGCACAGAAAGGATGCAAAAACACACACATGTGTTGAAAACTTCTTGTGGTCCCCAAGCACATCTTCTGCTAGCAGTGAAGCAAGCGTCGCCACCAAGCCGAGTTGCTGCTCTCAAATTTGTGACCCAAGCTTATCACGGTGCTTGTCGTTCCTGACACTGCGGGTATCTTCTATTTAAAAACGAGGCGTGCGTGCCGGGTAGCAGTGGATGCCCGGCTTGGAATTGTTCAGAATGCAAAATGTGGGTTGAAATCCACGAATTAGATTTAGGCTTTTTTTAAGTTTTTTTGAATCTCATGTTACAATGTGGCCACGACTGTCGGTGTTTGGATCATCATTTTGCAATAATCGACCGTGATTGACATCCCGTTATGTCGAAAATTTAGAACCTGGGGTCTCTGAAAGTCTGGCGTACTATATACAGATTCTTATGGGCAAGCGTGTGCCTGAAACTCACATCTGTAGTTATGCAGTGGCAGCTGAGGAGCCCGCGGGCTGGTATGCAGTCTTTTCGTTTCAGCCGATACTTCACCTATGCCTCAAAACATTTGGTTCTGAAGTCTGATGGGTTTGGAACCATCTGAGTCGGAGCTCTGTGGCTCAAGTCCGTGTTGCTTTGCAGCAGATGGAGCTTGTGCAGCAAGGGCGGAGCTGGTTGCAGGCAGCCGTATCAGTGCAGCACAAATGTTGCAAGTGACATGAAGCACCGTGTAAACATGCATGAGTTGGCTTGTGTTGGCCATCCTGTGATTGTGCATGCACGCAGTACCAGGAGGGGGAACCACCGACAGCAGTACTGCAAGAGACGGAGGACTTGTTGCAGGTGTGCCTGCACCACCAACACGCAGGTTTCAATTGGTACGCAATTTGCAGGCTAGTGTGGCGAGGTGTTAATCATTATGCATAAAAAGTGTCGTGGCTTTCTCACTTCGTCAGTCTCGTTTTTGGTGTTCCGGAGCTGTTAGCAGAAGGGGTTTCCTTTTCTCGCACGAAATTGCAATGGGTCGCGCAAGTAGCAGATTCCCAATTGACACGCATGTTGCTGGAAGCTGCTCAGCAGATCCTGGTAAGTGTTTTCCTGTTTCGAAGCCGCTTAACGCGCCTTTGTTCGGCTTGCAGCGTCGAGGGAGCTGGCCTGGCGCCCGTCCCGGGCAGCTGCAGGGACGGCGCCCGTGCTCGGGCCTCCCCAACACAGCGGGGCAAGGCCAAGAAATATCCATCATAGTGCAAAGTCAGCTCGATTGGAGGCCTTGCTCAGCCCTGCTACATGTTTTGTCGGAATGGCGAGCAGGAGCAATTTTTGAGTAGAGTGTTTAACGGGTAGTTGTGGTTGCAGCAAATCAGACCTCGGAAACGGCACTCGTTGCCATGGACGTGATGGCATGGCAGCGCAAAGCCGCGTCGGTCCCTACGATGGAAATAGTGAACTGCACGATCTGGATCTTCGCTGCTCAGAAGCTACAGTCAAGCCGCCTGATGCGATTTGTTGAGACCCGAGGCCTCCTCTGACACTGGAGGCTCGCCTGAGAAGATGCACAGAATGACGCAGTTATGGGCTGATGTTTTCTCCTCCCCCGAGAGGTCTGGCCTGTGAGGAGCTGGTCGGGGAAGAGATTCCTCGAGAGGAGAAGAGCTGTGTCTTTTTTTTGGTGCAGATTCCGCACAAACGGCCTTAGGGAGTTGGCTTCATCAGTACTTACGTCGTTTTGGCCTTGGTCCTGAATTCGGACTTCAAATTTCATCGGGTTGACAAGACTGTCAACAAATACTGCGTCCAAACTGATGCAATGCCCAGGTTATTAGTTGCGACTTTTGTGACGTTTCGCATCTCGCTGCGTGCAAACTCATTCACCCAATGTTCATGACAGTTTGGATGAGAAAGAGCGAGAGGGGTGTCGTGATATTTTTGTAGCCAAAATGGTGTAGTACCACGGCTTTTCATGATAGTTTCGTTACGTCTGACGCTTTGAAAGGCTTTTAGTATCGTGACTTCGGCGAGTCCCTTGGCGTCCCAACTGAACTAGTGCACCCAATATGGTTAGTCTTTAGCGATTTCGCGACAGTTTCGTTGTGTCAATCTTGTTGGCTGACCAGCATATTTTGCCCGAGTTCGGGTTTCAAGTACACACTTCTGATTCGCCAGAACATGTGCCCAACTTCAGGTTTCAAGCTTAGACTTGGCTGGTCAGCCCATAGTGTAGATGCAGGCTTCGGGTTTCGTTTGGTTTGATCGCAATTTTTTGCCCGATCCGGACTTCAAGTATCGAGGACGGTATGAGTGCGTCTTTCAAGTCCCAAAGGAATTCCATTTCTGCACATTCGTCGAGCTTTTCCAAGACTTTGTATGTCACTACATCCAAGTACGTATTGTGTTGTTACACTGAACGTTGTCGGCAAGAATCAAGCTCCTCTTATTCTTTTATATCTGCCTGTCTGCCTGTCTGCCTGCCTGCCTGGCTGTCTGTCTGTCTGTCTGTCTGCCTGTCTGTCCGTATGTTTGTCTGCATTTATGCACGCATGTCGGTATATGTGTTTGCGTGTCTGTATGCATGCATGTGTTCGTGCACACTTGTACGAAGTTGTTACATAATGTGGCACATCGTCTACAACGTGAAGCTGTTTTCAGACGAGCTTGAGTCCCCGACGAAGTCTTTCAAAGGTCGGTACTCACGCCAGTAGATCTTCCGATGGGGCTATGCAATTCTTCCAGAGATCCAGCATGAAGGAGATCATTAGCAAGATGCCTCTGAAGAAGAAAGGCCGGGAATTGCAAGGGTGAGTGGTTCAGCAGATGATGTAGGCATGTGTTGTCTCATTGATTGCCATGTTTGTCAAGATAGCAGCGGAAGCTGCAACCACAACAAGCTTGTGCAGCAAATGACACTGCAATGTAGATACGGAAAGAATTACAATACAAACATAAACATGCATGTGCATAGTCATGTTGCAGCACCGTCGCGACTGATCTGGTCTGCGCGTGGGGCGGGCTCAGTGATTACCCCTGCGCCGGAAAATCCTAAGCTCCTTTTAGCGGAGGATTTGTTTCTTGTGCCCCTCTGATCAGGGTCGGGGAGTCGGGAGCAGTAGATTCCGCTGACGAGAGTGTCAGAGATACACTGCATGCTTTTGATTATTACCGGTCGCGCGCAGAGCAGTCGTGGCCAGGTGGCAAATCGAGCTGTGTTTCGTCAGATGGGTCGAAGTCGCACCGCAAGAGGCGAGTCGGGACCTGCAAGTGCTTTGAAGTCACGCGCAGATGGCAGAAAGCCGCAGGTCCAAGGTGACCGTCCTCAAAGGCCTGCTTCCTGGTGAGGAGCCAATGGACTTGTCAGAGCCAGGCTCTTGCTGAATCTGGCTGCCAAGCCAGGACTCCGTGCGCTCGGCTGCCGAGCAGGCGCTGAAGCACTTTGGCAACTCCGTGGACGAGTACCGCGGCCAAAAAAGGTGGTCACTTGAGACTTTTTCAAGGGCCTTGTGGGAAGGTGTAGAGATTCTTGCATTTGGGTCCGCAGGTCAGACTAGTTCAGGCAACCCTCGAAGACATGCTGCATGTGTGGGGGAGCAGCATTGGTTGCCAGTGGCCTCCAGATGTGCTACTAGTTACTAGTCGCCCTGTCCGTGCCACGCACATTCTGCGGACGAGGCCCATCCAGCTGGTAGATCTTGGCAATGCGCCTCGGTTGCTTTAGCCTGAACCTTGAAGAACCCTGAACCCCATAACCCTGAGCAAGCTAACAGTGTGCCCGCGGGCCCCCTGACTTTGAGCTTCTAGCGCCTCAAACTCGCCGAGAACGCTGTAGCCGTAAAGCGGAGCACTCCTGGACTCCTGCGGGCCCTCAGCGTCCCTCTTATGAAGGGATGACATTAGGCCGTGTTCGCGCTGTGCTGGCTGCTAGTAGTTTTTTATGCGCTGCCCTGCAAGCACCCCCAACGTTGGCCACAGGTGCAAAGCCAGATCCAGCTGTGGAAGAGTCTTGCTCTCTACTGGATTTTTGTGGCAGTCTGCAGGTGAGGGAATCTCAGAGCGAGAGCCGGATGACAGCTGCATCTGAAAGCCACGTGAACGGATAGCGGTCCGCATCATGCAGCATGCGCCCTACGACAGCTTAGGAAACACTTGCCCAACGTGCGCCCACACTACGCAGTGAAGTGTTGCCCCAACAAGCAGGCGTGCTGCCGTTGCCTTCGCCTGGACTCTAGCAGCTCTAGCAATTTCGATGTTCGGGCATCGAGTCCTGTGAAATGTGTGGACATCGTCTAGTTGCTTGCATGGATTCAGCATTGAAGCCGCTTCTCTCCGTGTCCCATCAGATCATCAAGCAGCTCCGAGATGGAGGTTGCGGCTTCGACTGCGCAACGATGCAGGAGTTTCCGTCAGATCTGTGCCTCACCTCGCAGAGGCTTGTTTGAGGCTAGGGCCAAAGGGCAGGCCATGGACATGATGCACAAAGCTGTCATCGAAGCACTGCCACAGTATTTGTACCTAGCCGGTCCTAGCCAAGACCGACAAGTAAGCAGGAGATCAGCACAGTTTTGGAGCTTGGTGTCACCCCGGCCGACATTGTGCAACTCAGCTCCATGCTGTGAGGGCATTTGCTTAGGGCCTTTTTTGGAGCGCGGCCGAGGCTTTCTCGACATGTCCGGTTAAGAGCTGATTTCGATAAGGGGCGGATCAAGCAAAGCGGCTTTCGTTTGGGCCCGTCCTGAGGTACTCCCACCCGTGCAAGCCACGATCGCACATTGCCTTCGCCAAGAGCCAAGGCCTTCTGGGCCGAGCGTAAAGACATATTCTGCTCAAAGCTCCTCACCCCGCCTAGCCTTTAGAGGTCCCATGCTAAAACTCGCCTCCGGCATCTCACCTCGGCCCTCCAACCTCTGCTTGCAGTGTTCAACACACAACTGGTCGACAAGTGGTTTCCAGCCGTAGGCCTCCATTAGCACTCGAAAGCCTTTTGGATTTCGAAGTAGGACCTGAACCGTGGAGCAATATGTCCAATCTTGAAGGAATTTGCTTGATGTCCTTCGACAACGACGTGGAGCTGCGGAAGGCTCTGAATCGCATGTTTTATGATGTTTTGCTGCCAATGTTCAGCATTTTTGGCTTGCATAAGCAGACATCTGTTTAAAGTATCGTTCTTGACTGGAGCATTGCCAGAACTTGCTAGCGTCACGCCTTCGCGAACTTGTGCTGGGTCCTTGGAAAGGAATCGCCGTCTGCTATGTCTCAGGTGGCCGCCGTTTATCCTGAGGCGCAGTTGCTTCTCCGTGTCGTCTGCGAGGAACCGCTTGTGCGATGGCAATGGATCGCAGAAATACGGCTAGTTATGGGTTCTGCTTGCAGAGATGCGCAGCAGATTTGCGTGATGCATACGGGTTGTTGGAAAGTCAGACTATCGTCAGCGCCCTCGTAGCATTTCGAAGCCTTCGCAGGACTCATCGGCGCAATGCCCCATGTCACTGAAGTTTGGGGCAAAGCGCGACACATGGGCCAGGCTGCTGGACATCATCCAGGATCTCGTGCATGTACACCGAAAGACCTCTGGCTTAGGGACCTTTCCAGCACTTTTCACTCACGTCCTCCACTTCCCAGGAGCTCCAGCTGAACCTTGCCGGGGTGTGCTGGCCTCATGGCCTCCTCTGCTCTCGTGGAGCGGCTTGAACTGCAGTGCAGACTCTGAGGTCCTTCCACGTGGGCTCTGGTGACTTGGCTTCATGAAGATTTTCATGGCATTCCGACGCGTGACATCAAGGGACACGGAATGACAAAACACTCTTCAACCCAAAATCCTGGCCCTAACACCCCCCTCCACAACGACTTGATAT